TGGTAAATAAATAAATAAATAAATAAAAGGAGCTGGGCCGCGGATTTAGCTCAGTGGTGCCGCCGCCTGCCTCGCAAGCGCAAGGTCCCGAGTTGGATCCCCGGTACCAATAAATAAATAAATAAACAAATAAATACATAAATAAATAAAAATTTAAAAATAAAAGGAGCTGAGCCTTCATCTCTCTGCTAGAAGTCCGAGGGGCCCTCCAGGGGGCCGGCTGTGGCCAGGCCTCGGGTTTTCAGGCCTTGTGTATAGCGACAAAGGGAGGCTAAACCGTTGGTGGAATCGTTTCATGGTCTTTAGGCTTTCCCGCTTCTACAAAGGAAGGCAAGAAAAGTTGTTCCACCTTTAACCTGACTTCCGCTCATCCCGCACTTCAACATGGCTACGGAGGCCAAAAGGAACAATCTCAAGGCGCGCCTCAGCGCAAAGATCTCAGGTACCCGGATGTTGCCCGCGCTTTCCCAAACTTCCCAATCTCATTCCTCTAACCTCAACCCTTATCTCCGCATTTCAAAAACACAGCTTTGCTTTCTGGCAGGAAAAGGCCAATGCGGGCCTCCGTACGACGGTCACCTTCCGACCTCTTTTTTCATTGGTTGTGGGAGAAATGGGTGGATCCCAAAAGATCCTGAGGAAGAGGGCGGTGGCAGTGGTGGTGATTGAAGCAAGCCGGGTGACAGGATGGTGAGCGTTGAGCGATAGAGGCCTGGCTCTTGGCTGGGATGCTGTGTCGCTGGGACCCATGAGGAGAATCAGGGCGAGGGCTTGGGTTGCCGGAGTCATTGGTGGGCGCGGCCAAAGCGCTAGGCTAGGGAAGGCCCGGGACAGGAGGGGTAAGGAAGGGCAGCGGCTACTTCTGGGTGCGGCCGGCGGTGGCCTTGCCGCCTTCCCTGGGGGCCTGAGGACGTCCTAGAAAAAGCAGGGTCCCTCCCCGCTGCTCGTCTGTCACGAGATCTATACGCGCGAGCGGGGGGAAGGCCTTCGGGCCTGCGACAGGAGTGTCCCCGGGAAAGGGACACAGTCCCCCTCCTTTTCCAAACGGGGCGGGGCGGGGGGCACTGGTTAAAGCTAGCCTCACGATGCAAAATGGGAAATAGGAGAATTCACTTCCCACTTAAGTTTATCATCCGGAGAAAAGGAATGAAAGGAACCTCTTCTCTCTGAAATAAAATGCAAGCACCGCTGGAATGTGGTGGAGCCCGCTCACAGGCCAGGGTTTGTCGCTTAAAATGTTAGAACTACTGGTTTCTTCTGGATGATAAGATTCCTTAGAACAAAATTTCTCCGTGGTGTGTGAATTCCTTGATAGTGCTTGGAATTTTTTGTGAATGTGTGAGTTTTGGGGGGCGATAGGGCCAATGTTGGTGTGTAGGGGTGTTCGGGGAGAGTTAGTTCATTTGTTCCACATTTCCCCAGTACCCCCCAACCAGCTTCCGGCCGTCACCCCTCACTCCCTAGTAAGTTGCCACATCTGACACCGTCCTACAAAAAAGCTGGGGAGCTGCGAGTGGAGAGGGCTCACAGCTGTATATTTGAAAGTGCCCTGGGCTCTCTAAAAAGTCAGTTTTTTCCAAAAGAACTCTGATTGTGTTGTTGGTGGTAAACTGTTGAGGAACTTTGTACCAGGGCTCAAACTCGGGACCTTGCACTTGCGAGGCAGGTGGCAGAACCACTGAGATAAATTCCCGGCCCCCATTGCATGGCCCCCATTGCATTTTTAATATTATTGTTCTACGACAGGTATTACCTTTCAAGAGGTAGCTTCTAAATAACTTCAACAGTCAAAGATTTGTGGTTATATATGCTTCCCCGCAACCCGGTTCTGGTGGTTAAATCCAAGACCTTCTCACTGAGCTTCATCCCCAACCCTTTTCCAAACTTTAAAATTTTGAGACATGATGACCTCTCTAAATTGCCCAAGCTTGGTTTGAACTTGAGATCCTCTTGCCTTAGCCTCCCACTTTATGGGATTACATGCATATGCCACTATGCCTGGCTTCTTTAAATGCTTTACACTCCCTTTTGATTTTTTTTTTCTTCCAAGAAACTCTAGTTAACAGTAATTTTGGAAAAGTACATTTGTCCAAGCAAAAAGAACTACTTGCTATGATTCCATATTCATGTTTCTGAAGTTGTTTTGAGAGGTGAACATATTTCTAGGGTTAGTTGTACTGTATCTTTGTAATGAAAAAGAACCGGGCAAAATTTAGAATCAGCCGGTTCTTTTATAAGAAAAATATTTTATTGATCAAAGGATTCAGAGGTGTTTAACACTGTACAGTGTCCAACGATGAGCAGAAAATTTAGATATGGGGGAACGTCCAGTTTTAGCTTGATAAGAGAATTAAAATCAATATACTTGAGGGATAATTAGACCCCAAGAATGTAAAATCTTAGCCTATAAACTATTATGATGAAATTTGCAAATTGTCTCATAAAAATCTAAATTAATAATTTTATTGTATATAATCATACAATTTCAACAGAAGAGAAACAAAAGGAATATAAGTCAATGTGGAGAAGAAGATTAGGAAAATTTGCTGGGCGTGGTGGCACATATCTGTAATCTCAGCACTTCAGCACTTGGGGAACTGGGGCAGGAAGATCACTGTGAGTTCAAGACCAGCCTGAACTGTATATAGCAAGATCCTATCTCAAAAAAAAAAAAAAAAACAAAAAAAAAAAAAAAAAAAAAAAATCAGAAAAATAGAAAAAATTGGCAAGGTAATTTTATTTTGATAAGTACTGTATGTGCATTTGTTTCATGTTTTAAAATACAGCCAATGGTTCTTTTGGTATTTTGAGCACAGCTGATTTTTTTAACATTTTCTTTCATAACACTCAGAAATCATTAACAATTTTTGCATATTCATTTGGGTTTTTTTTGTTGTTCTTTTTTTAGTTTGTTTCCTTTTATGCTTTCTTTTAACATTGGTCATTTCTCACCCTTTTTTTTTCCCCATCCCCCTGTCTGCAATCAACTTCTTCATTCCGCTAAGGCTGGGCACAGAGTAAGTTTCTTCTCTTAGCTCCTACTAACAATGGTGGTTGGGCAGCTGATTTCTGACTGGGTTTCTTACCCTTTTAAGGTCTGTCAAATAAGAAGTAACCAAATTCCCATGCTTTGGGTTTTTTTAAAATATTACTTTAACAAGACTGCCTTGCCAGGATCTTTTGCTGTCTTAAAGAACTATATAATCTATGTCTAACCTGATTTGTCAAAGTGTGGAATTTGGGCAAGACACTATTCAACATACATTATGTGACAGTATTTCACTTATAATTCTGTCACCAGCAGGAAAACAAAGGATTCTGTATAAATATTTTTAATTAATTTGAAATCATTTCTGTATGGTCATTTGTACAATTACAGTTTTAGACTATTAATAGTTTTGGGTACACTTGGAGATAATGCACAGTACTTTGTAGAATCTGTTATCAGACATTATAGAGTACCATGTCTCTCTAATGTTCTTCCTAGTACCTTCTTATTAAACAGCTTATGGAGGTTTTTTTTTTTAAATGTAGAAATCTGTTTTTCTACCTTTTTTCCTCAAATGTTTGCTACACTAACATTAGCTATGTACTTCAATCCATAGCCCTCTCTAAAATGAAGATTGTTCTTTATCAACATACTTTTGTATTGATTAACAATGAGAGTGGAAACTTTAGTCTTACAGATGTTTTGTCTACTAAGATCTATATTGAGACAATTGATAAAAGTTTTTGATCAATTTCAGCTGAAATTATTCTTTATAAAGAGAAACTTATTTTTAAAGTGTGCTGATTTTGCAGCTTTGTGTCACTCTTATGCCCTGATAACAGTTCCTTTCCTTTGCCATAATTTTTATTTTTGTTGCCAGATGAATCAAGTTTGTTTTTATAATCATTTTAATTTCACATATTGTGTTTATTAATTCCAATTTACAAAGTCTGTGGTGACAAAACTAGTTTATTTTGTCCTATTAGGTATTTAATGTTTTCTTTGATAATAGTAAAGATAATATCTTGCCTCTAAAAGCAGTTAAAGAACATATCTATGAGTGAGATGTCTGTAAGACAAACCATCCTGTATAAAATGGGGGTGTTAACTAATCAACATGAAAAAAATTAATTTTGTCATCCTTTAAAGGACTATTTTAAAATAAGCTTTGTAACAATCTTCTGTTACATCTCTGCATTAAAATAATATTACTGTATTTCTAAAATCATGAAATTTCATGGGATGGGAGATTTTATTCTTTTAAATTTAAGAGCAAAATGTATTTTTGTCATCTGAGACTATGTTGCAGCTAAACATTTCTTGCTAAATTCATCACTTATTTAGCTGACTTCTCTGTTAATGCTCAAATGCACATGAAATATTGTGGAAATATTTCTAAGTGTTAACTATACAGAGTGAACATAGACAATTCAGAAGATAAAAATGAGCAAGGAAGCGAGGGGAGGAAACTAAAGATATCAAAGATCATAATTTAAAAGCACATGTTCATGTATTGAAACTCTGAAACACGCTGTTTTTTATACCTCTGTAATATATGGCTAATAGTTTGAAGTAATAAAAATGGTAAATTTTGGCCACTATTCTCTAAATAGTCAATTAGCTTAAGTTCAGAATTATTTTTATCACATTTTTAATAATTCTCTTTAGTGATGTTTCTGGAATTAATGTATAAGTTTTACATTACAGCTGAAGAAACATGAATTACCCTATCAGTCTTCAAAAATCTCTCCCCAGCCCTATAAAACACAAAAATTTTAAGCTGGGCATGGTAGAGCCTGCCTCTCCATATTTAGGAGGCTGAGGCAGGAGGATCTCTTTGGGTTCGAGGCAAGCCTGAGCTAGTGAGTTCAGGACCAGCCTGAACTACGTAATGAGACCCTGTCTCAAAAAAATACCCCCAAATAAATAAAAAAACAAAAATTCTAAATTCCAAAGGGCCCAATACTATACTTTACATTTGTTTTTGTTTTATTCACTATACTTTATAGTTAGCTAAATGAGTCAGCTTATAATGCTTAATTTTATTCTTGGTAAGTAGAATGATTACCTGTATTATATATGCACAATTTTTCATGACCAAAACAAAATAAAATTGATAGAGGACACGTTACCATGTTTGTTTAAATGGCTATGATAGAAACTACACAAATAACGTCTACTATGTTGGGTTCTGGAATCTCTGGTGAATTTAACTTTAAAGGGGAGCTGTGGTGCTCGCTTCGGCAGCACATATACTAAAGGGGAGCTGTGGAAGAAGAATGTCTTGTTTGGACCTCATGTTTAATGTTACTCCTTATCTCACCTTGACACTTTAAAGTTGGTGTTGGTATTAGGAGACCTGCACATCCCACACCGGTGCAACAGTTTGCCAGCTAAATTTAAAAAACTCCTGGTGCCAGGAAAGATTCAGCACATTCTCTGCACTGGAAACCTTTGCACCAAAGAGAGTTATGACTATCTCAAGACCCTGGCTGGTGATGTTCATATTGTGAGAGGAGACTTCGATGAGGTGATGTATTTCTCTTTCCTTTCCCAAGCATTTCCCTTCTTACATAAGCTTTATCCTTTAGATGAGGGGTTCTCAACTGGTTAGGTGTCACTCCCCACCTTTTCTTAAATTTTCCAAATTTAGAATTACAAATAAAATATTTTTGTATCTGAAATGCTTGGAACCAGAGTGTTTTGGATTTCGCAATTTTTCAGATTGTAGATTGACGTTGAGTATTGAACTCAGGGCCTCTGCCCTGAACTACATCCCAAATGCTTTATTTTTGGGATGAGGATTTAGCTCAGTGGTTCCGCCACCTGCCTCGCAAGCACAAGGACCTGAGTTCAATCCCTGTTACAAAAAAAAAAAAAGCTTTATTTTTAATTTTGAGGCCAGGTCTTGCTAAGTTGCCCAGGCTGGGCTCAAGCTTACCATCCTCCTGCCTCAGCCTCCCAGCATATGCTGGATTACAGGCATGCACAGCTATGCCCAGAATATTTGCATATACATGATGAGATATCTTAAGTGCCTACATTTTGATCATGACCTGACACATGATGCCATGTGAAATATCTACTTTTGGTACTGTATAGGCACTAAAAGTTTTCGATTTTGGGGCAAATCCGATTTTTTGATTTTTGGATTAGGGATAGTCAACCTGTACTATTTTGCTCTCCCTTTCTGTTTGAAAAGTACTGATTTAGACTACCCAGTAAGCATATTAAATACTTTTAACTAAACAAATTGGAACTGAGTAAAAATGTTACTCTTTTTTGTAGTGTATCATTTAATGTTTTTGTTGTTAGACCAAAACAGCTCTAGTATCCTATTTCAAGCCACCACATAACTGTCCCATGTTTCAGCTTCCTGGTTCTGAATTTCCTCTTTCCAGTTTCATCACTCCTTTGCTGACAGGCCTGCCCAAAGCTGCCTTTCTGCTTGTCTAAAAGGGCAAGAGGGAGTTTTGAGGGAGCAAGAGAACTGTTGTGTATCTTGAATGTGGTGGTTCTTACATACCTGTTGGCATTTGAAATGTACACTAAAAAGTGATTTTACTATATCTAAATTATACCTTAACAACATTTTTTAAAAGAAAAAAAAAATAGGAGCTATAAAGTCCCAATTTTGCCCACTATTAAGATTTTTGAGAAATTATTTCCCTCTTTGAAATTAGTAATAGTTGATTCAACACTTGCCAGTGCTAACATTGTATGATCTAGAATGATAAACCTGATTCCACTTTGAAAAATTTATTTTTTACTTCTGGGAATATAATCTATTTCATAAATTGTTTAACTCAGTTGTTACTCTTTAACAGTACTCTTTATGCCAAACTGAATGGACATAGTATGTTCTATTTTTTAAAAGTGGGTTTTAAAAATAGTTTGAATAAACTGCAGGTAGTATAGGAGTTTCTGAAAGACCAGGAAAATAAGAAGGAAAGGGACAAACTTCTTATTAATAATTAGGGTATAGGTCTGTTTTATTAAATACATATTAGAACTTCTGTCTGTGTCATGTTAAAGACAGTTTGGGATGGGCATGGTGGTGATGGCACATGCCTGTAGTCCTGGCTACTTGGGAGACTGAGGCAGAAGGATTGAAAGTTTGAACCCAGCAAGATGAGACCCTATCTAAAAAAAAAGCTGGAGGTGTTGGTTAGTCGTAGAGCCTTTACCTAGCATGTGCAAGGCCCTGGCTTCAGTTTCCAGTACTTTAAAAAAAAAAGTCAGTTTGATTAGCAAGAGTTAAATTTTTCTTTCTAATTCACTAAATTCATAAACCCTGGCGCCATGCTATAACGGTTTGGATTGGGCCTGGGATTTAGCTCATTGCCACCGCACCTGCCTCAAAAGCACAAGGTCCTGAGTTAGATCCCCCAGTACCAAAAAAAAAACAGTTTGGACCTAAACTCAACCCACTTACTGCCATGTAACCTTGGGCAGGTTATTTTAATCTTTGTGTCTTAGTTTCCTCATTTGTAAAGCAGGGATCATAACTTATAGTCTGGGGTGTAACTTGAATATACTGTAGTTTACAGGCCATTTGTTTCAGGTAAAGGAAAAATCACAAATTTAGGGGAATAATTATGTTACAACATG